ACTCCTTCGTCTGTTGTTGTTTCTCGATGCAACACACCATCTATTATCCTCAAGTTGTTAAATTGTCGTAACAGGGGGTTTGGTCCTACTTCCTTCCTGGATGGTTTTACTTTAGATCTAACATACTCCTTCACTCTTTTAATGTCTGGATCTAGATCTTGGGCTTTACACCAATCAATAATATTTCCTGTACTGGTTCCTCGTGGATCCTCATCATCAACAACTAGTGTTGGAGATAAAGTCAGAGATTCTACATAAGCTGGTACAGTAGACTGGCAAATGGCTTGTACAGTCTCAGTGTTGATGGGTAGACGACTAAGACCATCAGCATCAGCATTGTTCCTTCCTGCTCTATACTTGATGTCAAAGTTGAAAGATGCAAGGGCTGCTAACCACCGATGTCCAGTCGCGTCCAATTTGGCTGTAGTCAACACATAGGTAACAGGGTTGTTATCTGTTAAGACTGTGAAATGTTGGCCATACAGGTAGTCCTTGAACTTATCGCAAACTGCCCACTTCAATGCCAAAAATTCTCTCTTATGTGGAGGATAATTTCTCTCTGCTTTGTTGAGTCCACGGCTGGCATAGCTGATGACACGCTTCACTTTGTTTTGCTCCTGATATAAGACTGCTCCTAGTGAATCACCTGAGGCATCTGTATGCAACTCATAAGGTAAGGTGCTGTCGGCATATCCTAATATCGGTGCAGAAACTAAGTGAGTCTTCAGTGTCTCAAAGGCTTTGTCTTGTTCTATTCCCCAATGCCATTCTTTAATCTGTTTGTTCTTTCCTTTTGACTTCTTGAGAGGAGATGGCATCAAGTCAGTTAACGGCCTGCAGATCCTACTAAAATTCTCAATAAACCGTCTATAATATCCGACGAATCCGAGAAATCTGCGTACATCCTCTGGTGTTTTGGGTTTCGGCCAATTAACAACTTTCTCTGTCTTCTCTGAATCGATCTCGACACCATTCTGTGACACAATATGGCCAATGAACTTTACTTTCCTCTTGAAGAATTGGCATTTGGATGGAGCTATTTTCAGTGTAGCCTCTCTTATTCTGTTGAACACAAGTTGTATGTTGTGCAGATGTTCTTCAAAAGTCTTGCCAAAAATTATCACATCGTCTATGAATACACAGCACACTTTCAAATTCAGGTCAGCTAAGATGTTCTCCATAAGTCTCTGGTAAGTGGCCGGAGAATTAGTGAGTCCAAACGGCATGCGATTGAATTCATAAAATCCTAGCGGTCCAACAGAAAATGCTGTGCGTTCCTTATGACTCTCCAATATCTCCACCTGATGATATCCTGACTTCATATCAATGTGAGAGAAGAACTTATTTCCTGCCATACAGTCTAAGAGATCTTCAAGTCTTGGAAGTGCGTAACTGTCCTTCTTGGTCAGTTGGTTCAGTTGTCTGTAGTCGACACATAAACGCAGACTCCCATTCTTCTTTCTCACAAGTACCACATTAGATGCGTATGGAGAATGTGAAGGTCGTATGATACCAATGTCAAGTAGTTGTCTCAGATGCGATCTTACTTCGTCAAACATGGATGCAGGTATTCTTCTGTACCGCTGTTTAAAAGGGGTGTCATCTAACAAATCTATCCTGTGCTTCACTCTCTCTGTGTGTCCTACATCATGGTCTCCTTTGCTGAATATATCCGAGAACTGTAATAGAAGATACTTACCTTTCTCCAACTGTTCATCTGATAAATCACTCTCTATGATGTCAATCTCATCTAAAAGGTTGAACTTCTCAGACGGTTCAGGCATATTGGGTAGATTTTCAATGATGACGGGTTGAACCTCACATATGATACCTCTGGATGGAATCGTCAAAGTCCTTGAAGTTGTGTTGGAAAGATGAACTGTGACCTGTCTGTTATTCCTGAAGTAGTAAGGTCTTAGAACTGGTTCGACATCAAAATCTTTGTAGTCTGGTGATAATTCTGTTGATTGAAGAATAGAAGCAGTTCCCTGGTATGGTAGTTCCTTATCATAATAACCCTCAACTTCCGTCACTGAATTTGGTGGAAGCGTTACTCTGCAATTCGTTTTCACTACAGCTAATCTGTTGTCATTCCTTCGAAGTTCTTTTTCCCTTAGTGTCAAACATCTCATGGTCATAAACCAAGGTGTAGTCAGGTTAGCTGTTTGTAGATATCTCGCACCATGTTCTTCTTTCAGTTGTTCTATCATTGAGTGTAGTATGTTGGTACCTAGGAGTACTGGAACTTGATGACTATATTGACTATCTGGAGTAACTAGCATCATGGTTCTCGTAATGATGTTACTGTTCCCTGGAGTTTTGATGTCAGCCTCTATATATCCCTCATACGGTAGTTGCGATCCTCCTGCACATTCTATTTCCACAATCTGATCCAACGGTTTCATCTCAATTAAGTCTGATAATTCCTCTCTGTAAAATCCTTTACTAATTGTTGACACGGTTGACCCTGTGTCCAAGAGAGCTTTAATTCTTTTCCCGTATAAAATGATTTCCGTTTCCGTTGGTTTCCCAAACATTCCTGGTGGTATAGATGTGCGTACCCTGTTGTTTGTAATAGTGGGACCATCGATAATTCTTCTATTTAAGCCTAGTACTGGCCCCTCCGTCCAGGCTTCCTGAAGTTTAAATGACTCCTCATGTGGTCAAGTTTCACCCGACATCCAATCTGTAGGTGTCCTGGCTGCTTACATCTATAACAATAGACAGTATCACTGTTGTTTCCCTTAGCTCCCTGGGATGATTCTTGTTGATCCCTATCATATGTATCCTCACGTTGCTGTACAGGTGGTCTGTTTTTCCATCCTCTGTTGTTCCAGGATCCTCTCTGATTTCCTCTTCCTCTGAAATAACTACCTCTGTATTGCTGATGTTGGGTCTCTAAGTTCGTTACTTTATGCGTAAGTTGTTTCACCATACCCTTAAGCTCTGCAATGTCACCAACTGATGATGTAATGGCTGCTTTGGCTATCTGGGGCTTTGTTGGCTTCTTATGGTCTTTCTCCAGTTGTCGCAATGCAATACGCAATTTATTGAAATCTTTCTCTGTGTCATATTTGTGGCCACTAATATCCTTCAATTCGTCTCTAAGTCCCATCCATAGCATTCCATGTAACATACCATTCACTTCTGAATTCTTAACAACTCCTTTCTCCAACCCTCTTCCAATGATGTCCTCTAATCTTCCACTCCATGATGACACGTCTTCATCCTCTCCCTGTTTGGCACTATAAAACTCGGCTAAAAGCTGCTCTTTATTTGCCACACTACCATAAACACTGTCAAGAGTTTCTAAAACATCACTCAATGGTTTGTCCAGTCCTTGGTAAATTAACATTCTAGTGGCAGATCCGGTCAAAGAGCGACGGATGGCAAACTCTTTCTGTTCCTTCGTGTAACCAGGATCTTTCATCACCATTTTCACTTCATACCGCCAAATGTCATATGCTACTTCACCTTTGATATCACCACCGGAAAATGTTCTTATCTTCGGGGGATAAGGCGACAAAGTCACTGTTTTTGTCTTAGGGATTGTACCAGTTCCTTCTGGTGGTAGCATGAGTGGAGGAACTTTGGATTTCACATCCGGTTTGGTTTCCTTCGAATGAACAATGTACTCCTTGATCCATTTGTCTAGTTCAGCTGGATTGTCTCCCTTAGGATGGAGTCCCATGGCCTGAAATGTTTTGAACATCTGGTCGTAGACAATCGTTTCCACAGGTTGTGAAGTAGTAGTAGGACTTGTAGGTTGGGTTGTAATAGGACTTGTAGGCTGAGTTGTAATAGTGTCCTGTTTGTCCGCCATGATGATCTCTGTATAATAATACAAGTCACAAAATGAAAATCAATAAAATATTTACAACAACAAAAAAATAATCACAAACTATTTACAAAATACAAAGCATATGATCTTCCATAATCTTGGATGATGATTAAGAAATCACATGTAATGACAAGAATCAAAATGCTTACCTATTCCACTATTCTAATCTTCAATTAATGGAATAATCAGCTGCTCGTCAAGTAGCCGTAAGCAAATCACGAAAAAAAAATTGAAACGCGCAAAACTCTATGTCAACGATCTACTATTACTACTATATGCACGATACAGGAATAGTCTTATGTACTAAGTTTTTGATTCTAAAATATAATTTCACATTACATAATAGATCTGGTCACTCTGGATAGGCTGAATATAAACACAAACTCTAAACCTTCAAACTCAAATACGATCACAAAAATAAAATATAAATCCTCACCAAATGTAATCAAATATACCAATCAAAGAAACTTCCACTGACCTAGATGATAACCTGATCACTACCAAATAAACTAACTGATTTCACAAACCTCTAAGTTTTTCTTCACATAATTACCAGAAAGTAATAGAAGTATGGGATGTGCAAGGGTAGAGTTAAACAGAAAGACTGTTAATTCAGAAAATACATGCAATTACATATTCACCAACTCGTTCACTTCTCAATTACAGTTTAACTCTTAATTATCTTTAGTTATTTATGTCAAATTATCTAAACTGAAATTGAAATATCAAATAAAAATTTAAATAACTTTAAATTAAATGGATATATGTATACTTTCAAAATAATATGGAGGAAAAAAAATAACTTCCTAAATTAAAAAAAAATAAATGCACAAACTGAAAAAAAAATGTAAACAAAAAGAAAATAAAGTGTTTCAAGATTTGTTTACACTAACTACCCTCACATCCGGATCCGGTAACCTTGACCTTGTAGTAAATGTATGTCTGTATGTGTATATAACTATAAATATAAAGTACCAACGACAGACACAAGTGATAAATATAAACAAACAAAAAATAAATTAAATTCAATGAATAATAAACACAAATGCTGCTGAAATCCCTGAAAAAAAATAATCAAAATCTGTTTCGAAAAGATTCAGAAATGTTCACTTCGACAAAAGCAAAATTGTAAACAAATCAAGTCTAATTTGAGCGCATGTTTCCTAGGACTGTCACTACTGCAAATAAATGTTTCATACAGCTTCACAAACGGAAATAATTGTCCGCGAATATCAGGAACATGTCAACTTGTAAAGAAATATAACTGCTGTAGAATGAAACAAGTCAAAAAGTTTTATTTTCAAACCTCAATCAGCTGTCCAGTGGAAAACTTGTGGTTTTTCACGTGTACCAAATCACAACCGGAAGTAAACACAGAAAAGGAAGTCGTAGAATTTTCACTGTGGAACTGATGTTTCCGGAAATGAAAAATGGGCGTTGTCACACCAAGTAATCACAATTCCGTTGGGCGCCATTGAAACCGGGTGGAAATACACAAGACAAACACATTCCATCTGGTTTATAATACGTGGGTTTTATTGTGATGGTAGACTATTGCCCATTATGGTAAAGATGACATATAGATATGACCCTGTAAATATGTATTAAAATTATAAACACAAGAACAATAACTCTGCATGCAAATTTTTACAAGCAAAGCAGTTATGATATAAAATAAAACCAAAATTTCCAATGTAAACTATTATCCTTTTTAACAACAATGTTTGTCATAAACTCATTATTAATAAGCTTAGAATATTTATAGTTTCTGATGAACACAAACTAGGTAAATTTCAAATAACAGATAACCTCATGCAAAACTCTCAAATTACATGAATTGAACAAATAAAGAAAAATGAGTTTAAATACTTTCAAAAATAGCTTATAATTCATCATTTAAAAATGATGCTGTGTTCATTTTTATATCAACACACAGTTAACCTTACCTCCCATGAGGTGCAAAGGTCTGCTACAGTATATATACAAAACTCAGCTGTCTCAATAATATGGTACGTGTTCTAAATGTAAAAAAATGATATACTGCTCAATGTAGGGAATTATTTAGAAAAATGAATACTTTAGGAATTTGTTTACTTCAAAACTTTATAACTTAAAAACACTCATTTTCTCCATTCTAATTTTAGCAAATTATTTAGAAATAAAATAAACTCTATTTAATGCTATTATATTTACATAATTTATTTACAGCTTTCACACAAATCTCACACAAGACATTCACTCCCTAGCATACTCAGTCTAACATTCAAACATTCACACAAAGTAGATAAAGTAGGGAAAATAAAGAAATGTGAAAACCTAAACTAAACACTAACCTGGTAATGGAATAATCTCAGTCCATACTTATTTCAAACTAGGAATATCAAGTACTGATCAAACCAAAACTTCTAAAAATGTCTCAGAACATACACACCCATCAGAACGCTTGGGCATGAAAAACAAGAATAGAATTCCCTCCTAAAATCACCTGACCAATCCAGAATGACCACTATCTAACCAGATCTATAAATAACTACAAATCTACAGGTAAACCCAAAAGATAACTAAATACTTTACCTGTAAGACTTCATAAATGATAAAATAACAAAACACATACTTTAATTTATAGTTTGAATGAAATAAATCTTTATTTAAATATTTCAATTTAAACTCTGAAAATGATCATAAAATTAAAGAAAATACCTGAAAAATAAATTCATTAAAAACATGTAAAATTTCACTCTATTACAGATGTGATCGATCAACAAGGGATGCTTTCTCCTCCCTGGCACTTGATCTCGACTCTAATGGTTTAAGAAGTCTGAGTTTGTTATGTTCCTGATTTGTATTGCTTTATTGGACTTTTGAGCTTTGATACTGTGCTTTATCTCTTTATTTCTTTAAATACGTCTAATGTTTACATCCATTAATCCGCTAAATATTATTATTTAATTTCTTTTGAAAATCAGACAGTAAATAACGCAAGTCACCTTCTGCAATGTTTCACTAATTTGGAGACGCTACCACTTGAGGATGGAGAGTTGCAAATCGTGTCCTACATTCGGCACTTACGGCCATTGAGCAGTAAGGGATCTCAGTTTATACGGTCTCATCCGAAGGACCGGTCTCCGCGTCCCACGTACAGTGTAATTCGAACCCGCGACGTAAGGATCAAGTACTTCGTGGCTGAAGAGCAGATGCTCTGACCACTGTGCCAAGCGGGTGACTTCTTTGATTGTTAGAACGGGATTGAAGAAAAAAATACATATTATAACCCGCACGAATTATGTATTTTTTTCTTCTGTAGCAGCTGTGCATGCAACATGAATTCTCATAGTAGAAGTAATGAACAATGAAAGCATTTTTCGCAATTGATTTAATCCTGAAAAGCAAACGTTTACGCATATTGCTGTATACCATTGTACTTATTATATTTGTATACGTTGATAATTTATGTTCGTTTTGGTGAAACGGATTATAGAGCATACCAAGATTATCTGTAGTATCTTTATTTGTAGTGTGTGGATATAGTCGTGTATGCTACACATGTCTTGTTTACTCATTTTCTGCAGCACGTCAGAGAAATTATATTTATGTGATTATTTTCATTCAGAAAATATGTAGTAATTCAGAAAAGCATTTAAATCTTTTTGATGTTCTGCTCGTGTACGAAATATATACCTTTGTAATCAGACTTATTTTCGGAAAAGATGATTTTTATAGATGGAATGTATGCTACCAACAATGACCAAGATATTTTAAATTGTTAAAAATTACTGTTCAACGTTTTTTTTCCTGTATTAAGCGTCGTAAATGTAAACGTCGCTGTGTGATTATTAATTTTCTTCTTTCAGTTTTGTATTCAATCTTTACGTTATGAGTGATTTTCTCAATGAAATAAATTCCAGTAATTACATTCGTGGCGAAATCTTCGCTCACTAGAGTAAGTGTCGTGCCGTGTGCAGAGAATTGCCTTGTATGTATATCAGTTTGTAAAATAAGGCGCACCTTGTCGGCTACAAATACACGTTCACGAAGGTCTTAAAACAAATTAATTTTCGAAATAAGCGGCAAATAAATTGTTCCTTTACACTTTATGCGTCTGATTATTTGGCAATTCGTATTTAAGTTGATCAGAAAGTTTTATTTTATTTATACAGAAATGCAGAACTATAGAATGGATAAAGTTTACTTTGTGTAACAAAATCATAAAAAAAGACTATTTAGCTCCTTTAAATATATAGACATAGGGTGTATTTGTAAAAAGTAAAATTTTCGTTTTCATGTCCATTTAACCTAAATAAGAAAACTACATTCTGTTAAATCAGCTCATTAAAAATCATTTATGGAAAGAAATGGCTTGCTGTAGTTTTTGAAAAGTATTTTTTCTAAGTTTGACGTAATTCGGGTACGTGTGCAAATCATTTTCGCAGATTTCCGGCTCAGACATTGGATCTAAGGTAATTTTCTTTCGTACACCTCTTGACTTTAAACAATATGAAATGCATTGATATTATACCCAAGCAACAAAAAAAAAAAAATAATAATAATAATAAAAATAAGTTGTCTGCATGCAAAAAATCATGTTTTTTTTTGAGTGATTTAAAAAAAAATATCTGTTTAAAAATTATTTTTTGAAAATATTTGATAAAGATAGAACTGTTTCAATTGTTTCCTGTTTCCTTGTATTATGATGGTGTTTATTTTATACAATTGTATTTATAATTTCCTCAAGGATATAACACTGATAGAACATTCTTTTATACATTTAAAAAGTTGTATAAACTTTTATTCATTATATTTGAATGATATTTTTCCCCATCATTTTAAAGATTTTGTTAAACTACGTTTTATAAATTTCGCTTTGCTGAAGATTAATAATATTTTTTGTTTAAATATATGATTCATACTTCAAGCATTTTGTGACTAAAACATAAACGAAAGCACACCCGTTAAAACCATCCGGTACAGTGCACGTAGTATAATAACCAAGAGACAGGTCAGTTAGGCCCCCAGCGTTAGGATTAAGGAAATAATAACCTTGAGCGGAAGGATTCGGTCGTTATTTGTTTTTCCTGTTTTCGTATGATTACCTATCATTGACGCCAGATGCTTCTGTCCTTATTTATCAGAATTAATCTCGTCAGGATCTATGTATCCGCGTCCCCATCCCATTAACATCTATCCTTAGCGCAACATGACGTATACACTTTTCAAATATCGTTAAGATTTCGTAATAGTATAATCTGGTTTGTCTGTAGACAGAATTATGAAAAACAAAAGCTTCCTCAGCAGGCAGTTATGGCTGAGTCACGTCAGAGGAATGCGCGAGGTACATATATATTACAACCGCCAAACTTAATAGATTTTCAGTAAGACACATTGGAATGGTAAGTAAAACATAGCCCACAGATCCAATCAAGATTTCAGTTATGATTTTTACTCAATTATTTTCTAATTCAGATGGTCATTAGTAGCTTTTACTTAAATTTTACATATATATTTTTTTCGTATTTTACTTAAACTTCCCACTTTACATACGCACCGGTAAGAATGTGTTTTATTAAATATGTGGAAACAAATGATGGAACTGTAACAGACGGTCTGAGAGCTTTAACCTGGGGTGTAAACACAAAGAGGTGAACGTTCTGATGTTGATAGCGCAACTCTGGCACGCGCATCAGAGGTTCTTGTTACTGATAACAGGCTTGCTCACTCTCACTGATAGACAGTGGCGGATCTAACATTTTCAAAGCTGAACGAAATGGTGAAAGGAACTATCATAATACAAAATAATGGCGGATCTAGAGGGGACCTGAGCCCTATATTGATAAAGTAATATTTTGTATTCAGGTTTTGCACTTATTTTTTGAGACGTAAAGCGTAAGTATATCTAGGATGTGAGGAAATGTTCTGTAAAATTTGTCAGCTCAGTTCTTAAAGTTTCCCTTTGCTTTGGCCCTAAATCCCACAAGGGCTTTGTCCACTGAGGGTCTGAAGGAGGTCCTAAGACGGTTTCTTTTCTCAAGAATCTGAGATCCCAATATGTATATTGGTGTTCAGGGAAAGAAATATAGAGATAGAAAACAGAGGTCAATTTACTGATACTTCAAACTCAATAAAATCGGGTGCATAGCAAATACGAACCTCTAAAACATCGGAATGAGGTTGGATCAAGTGCCACGGAGGAGAGATAAAGCCCCCTCTACAGAACAGAAAATTCACTTTGATTTTTCACATTTAATATGATAAAATGTTTTGAAGTGAGTTCCCATCTTGTTTTTTAGACAAAATGCCTTTCAAGCCACCAGAGCGAGCGTTCTGCCCTAAATGCAACCAGGCTGTATACGCCGCAGAAGAAAGGATAGGCGCCGGAAAGAAATGGCACAAACAATGCTTCAAATGTGGTACGTATATCACTTTAAGTAATTCCTGGAAGGTATTGTCCTACTTAAAAAGGATATAGTTATCACATTAACGAATCACATCGCATTATTTCTTTTTTAAATATCTTGAGTTCATAATGTGAATTGATTTTCTATTGGTCAGCTCAGTCATGTGATCTACTGCTGTTGTCGTCTAACGCACGTAATTTTGTGGACTGGCTTACCTGTCTGATCCTCGATATACAGTTTCGTACGAATAAGACAGGAACTGCCAGTCTAGTAGTTTTATAAACTTTGGAATATTTTTAACTTAATCTTTTCTGAAACCCCTGAACCATTTTATCTGATTCTGTTATTCAATATCATCTTTGGACAAATGAATTCAAAAATTATGATTTCTTATTCTCTGCATTCCGGGACGTGTGGATAGAACCAAAACCATTAAATTTTTTTTTAAAAAGTCTTTAAAAATTCTCCTTTCATCTTTGATATCAAGCACTCAAACTGTAGGTGTTGTGATAATATAGAATGGAGTGTTAAATTCGTGGCCCTTGTGTCGGGTTCTGATGTAAAGGTAGTGCTTTATAACCATATGGAAATGCATACCTTCCTCAAAATTCTTCTCTATAACCCTGTTTATTAAGAGGGCATACAACTGGACAGATACGAGGCATGTTTAAATTTCATTAGTGTAGAAATTCATAACCTACAACTGATGTTTGGTTGGGCTTTATTAATAACATTCTGTAGACGTACTTTTTTCCACGGGGTCATATCAATTTTGGTTTAATCCGCGGGTAGAAAATTACGCGGATTTCTTAGACTGTCACTATATGCCGGAAAATTTGTAACCGCATACATAGCGTAAATTAATACCACGCGGAAAAAAGTACTTCTACAGTAGTTGTTGAATTTACAGGCAAACCAAGTGCATTGTTATAAGCAAAAGGTTTCCACCAAAATTGAAATTTATAATAAATTTTAGTTGGTTCTTGAGTCAGAATGGGGTTCAGCTGATCTAATATTAAACTTAGATATAAAAAACTAAGAGAAATATACTTGTATTCATTCTATGAAAATCTCTGCTCAAAAACAGGTGGGGTAGAGTGGGACTTCAATATTTAAATTCAATAAGTATTATACATATATGTGTGTTTTATTCTTTATTTTTGTAACGGGTGATTAACAGAGGGAAAGTGCTTGTGATAATGTCCAGGGGTACCTATGGCATCTGTACAATTCTATTTTTATATGCTGTTCAATTTTCTTATTGAATCTTATTTCGTTTAATCTAAAGTGATGTTGCTTAGCTTTATGAATCTAAGGCAGATCAATCTGTGATTTGATACATGTAGGAATGTGTAACAAGGGTTTGGACAGTACCACTGTAGCCGAACACGAGGGTCTGGTTTACTGTAAGGGCTGCCATGGAAAGAAGTTTGGACCCAAGGGGTACGGATTTGGGGCAGGTGCAGGCGCACTCAGCATGGAAACCGGAAGTCAATTCGGCAACAAAGAAAGCCAAATGTCGTATGTATAATAATGTTTAATCCTTCAAGGTGGCATTTTTTCCTTAGCTTGTGATGGAAATGAGATTAATCTTGTGAATTTTTGGCCTTTTTCTGTTAGGAACCGCCCTACTGAAGCCGTGATTGGTACAAAATCAGGCCCTGGCCCTCACTGTCCACGCTGTCTACGCACTGTGTACGACGCCGAACGCGCCATCGGGTTGAACGACGTAAGATTCCATGTTTATTTCTGTAAACCAAGATGAGTTTTGACTTGGTTATGAAAAGTCCCCTGGATCGAAGCATTTCGTATTTAAATAGTGTTCATGTATATAAAGTAATTTAAGTTGGGGATTTGGATGTTTAATTGATTGGTTTGTCCTAAACTGACATGTACAGTAATAATGATGTTTTTTTTTCATTCTGTTTTAAAACGTCTAAGACCTTTATATTGAGTTTTTGTATGCATTTTGTAGGCTTGGCATAAGTCCTGCTGCAATTGTCGGGAGTGTCACAAATCTCTTGATGCCAGTACCTTGAGTAGACATGAAGTTGAGATTTACTGCAAAGGTTAGATAATTCTCAGAGTTTGTCAGTGTATCAAGTCTGAAGATCAAGATATGCATACCTGTAAACGAAATAACCAGAACACATGCATAACTTATACTTTGAGATTTACTTAATCATTCGCACAGATAATACTAACATTGATTAACGAATATTTTCATTTTTCTATTTCATGAAATTCCAGGTTGCTACGCCAAACATTTCGGTCCTCATGGTTATGGAGTTGGGACTCTGGCAAAGTAAAAACAGGAATCGAACACGCCTTTAGTCCTTCCTATGCCTGGATGAATTGTTGTGTTTTTTAAGTTCCCATATGTTGGTGGTAGATAGCATCCCATTTAGTTGTCACAAGAACCTGAGATTTTTCCTGAATCGATGAAATCGTTAGCTATGACCCTCCACATTGTTCGTAGTTTACCCTGCAGTGATTAATGGGGCGAAAATTCCAATAGCGATTCCCCGCAGTGTAACCTACGTATGATCCCACGTTCTTGAATTTGTAAGAGAGTTGTAAATTAGAATGGGGATATTTAGTTTAAAAAATATGGAGATATTTTTCATATCATAATTTTGTTATGTCTTTTAATTTATTTAATCGAACTTTTCTATGTGCATGAATAAACAAGTGAATGTTTTCTTTGATTTTTCATTTCCATTTTTGCGTCATAGTTGATTCTGAATGCGGAATATCATTTAGTCCTAACTAGATTATACAACATATTTTTCTCCAGCTAGTAGCTGACAAAGAAGGTGATAAAATTTGTTTTAAGGCTCAGCTATATGTGAGAGGAGTTTCTGTATGAGGTAATTCAAATTATTTCCATAATCGCCTTCCTAAGGAGAAAAATCTAATTTAAAAATATCTATACATGTAGTTCTGAACAATCGATTTGAAATTGATAACTATACCTATATTGGATACCGTTACTACGTTAACCACATATTTTATTTATATTGTCAGTAGTCACTTAAAATATTTTTGATCTAAACATTCTCAGTGTTCATATAAGTTCTCCGAAGTTGATATTAAAAACATGCTTGAGTTTCTGAAAATACCTACGTAGTTTTTGAAGATCATATAATCTTAAGGCATCCCATGGGTACAAATTTCGCCCTGTTATTAGCAGAACGATTTTTGCATGCATACATGTATGAAGCAGAATTTATTAAAAAAAAAAAACTTTTACGTTAAAAAAGAAGTAAGAAGCTGTTGTCTTCAAGATTACATTTAGATACCGTATTTCATGATTTTTTCGTGGGACCGGTGTTATCTTGGTTTTCTTTTTAGTAGTTTGGTAGTTGCCCGCATAAAAAATCGTTATTTTCTCCTTCACTCTGTTCATCAGCAAATGAAAATATTTCTTATTGAAAATTGAAAAAGACTAAATACAAAATAAATAAAACATTTATTACTTATGAGCTATATACTCAGCTTAATACAAAATATTCCACTGTTTTTTTCCCTGATGTAAAATTTTAGTTAAGGAATAACTGTCTTATTTTTCGATTTCATGAAGTGATCAATCGATTGGCTTGCGTGATAATTTGCATAAACACCGAAGGCGTTTATGCATAAAATTATCACGCAAGCCAATCGATTGATCATCTTCATGAAATTGAAAAATCTGACAGTTATTCCTTATATTTACATGCTTTGATTCCGCCACTCCACGTGCTCCAAGCCCTGCTTCTGTCTAGCTGTTTATCCCGCCCTGCACGTGGTTTTTTTGGAACCGCGCCAATACATTGATGGGGAAATAAAGTACATTTACAATTGGTAATTTTATCTCGGACAAAGACATTGGAAATGTAAATATATTTGTATAAAGACCTCCGCAGCAGATTCCGATGGAGAAATCTTGATCTATGTTTAAGATTTAATGTACAATTCTTAAGATATCCTTTACGTTTACTTATAATACACAATTATGAAATTACTATCATCCTTTGAAAATATAAGTCGTAAATCAAGGACAACACTTAATATCATCTTCGTGAAAACTTAACATTCTACAACAATAAAAAGAATAATATCAAAATTGTTCGTGCTGATTCTCTTCTAACATTGTATTTCTTAGCTGAGTATGAACTTGAATGAATAGAATACGCAAACAACTGTATAAATATCCAAGACGTTTTACTCGCATAATAAAGCGCATATCTAATTCATCCGCTCAAGAAAAAACATATCGAACACTCTACACATAAAATAGTTCACTTATGCTACCGAAAAGAAATTAAACTAAATTAATTTGCACCCTTACATAAAAGTACTAAACACACGAAAAACAGTTTTTTATCAGTCTGTTATTACACATGATACCTTTCTTAAATGTTATGAAAAATCATTAGCATACGTACGTTTGAGCATGGAAAGGAACCCACTGCACGTAGACGGTATATCGACAATTTTTCAGTAATATTAACTTTCTCTTTTTTCATTAAAAAAATGTTTATTCCTGTATTAATTTTGATACATCCTTTTGAACGCAAATAAAAGACATCACAGAGTCTGACACATTTGCTTCTTAACAAGAAAAAAATGTTATAACCTTACAACTAAATTTTATGATAAATATTATCATTATATATACCGGTATACTTAATATGTATCACTCAATTTTGATTTTACGCAATCATGTGACGTCGCGATTCGACTTTCCGGATCACCACACTGTGCTTTTCTGAATTCACATCACTACTCTCTGAAACTGATGACATAGTACGCAAAAAACATGACGTTATTTTTCTTGAGCGTTAAAAAGTCCATTGTTATTGCAGCCCGGAGGACCGGGCTGCTCTATACATTTAACTTTTGATGTATGGGGATTGAGGTGGGATTAGTTATTCAGAATTGAAGGTTAACTAAACATTAAAAAGCTTATACATCAGAATGTTCTTTTCCGTTATAAATTACGATATACAAAATATACGTGTTTCCATGAAGTACATCTTTAAAAATATATATGTTTTTCACATTTAATATGTAAAGTTGCTTATCATTTACTTTCGATAAAACGACAGGTCCCTTTTTTTAGAACATTGAATTTTACTTTTCGCATAAAAACGTACGTAACACAGTTTGTGTTATTACCGGCCGCCAGGAGGCGGTCGGTTGTTTGAAGTCGTCGTGCGTTTCTGCGGAGTTAAAACAGTTTAAATAAAAAAATTAACATTCATATAATAGAATATTTTAAAACAAGAGTGTTTAAATGTTTAACAAAATACGCACAATAATCATAAAATCAAAATTTTGTAAATATGGGGTAAATGTTTTATCCAATCCTGATTGACAAACTCTGACATTACTGAGGTGCGGAGACATTAGAAGCACACGTGTTGGGCATGGTCTAAAGTAAAGATCGCATTTATACAGTATACAAGTATAAACAATTTTACCTTCTCTATTTAAACAGGATTTGTTGAATATATTTTGAAATATATATATATACATTTCAGAAAGAAAATTTCAAAATGATAATATATTATGAGACAGAATATTGCGAGCTTTTGCTCCAACAGACAAGGATAAAGCGTGTTTTACAGTATGCCAAGCCTTTTCCCACCACATCTCAGACCAAAGATGAGAAATGTAGTGGCGGATCTAGAGGGAGTTTGGGGGGGGGGGGGGGGGGGGGGTAAATCGTGTGAGAGCGAGCAAAGAGCCCCACATATTTGCTGCGTTTATATTAAAGTAAAACTATATCATATTATCTCTATATGGTTGAGACAACTTAAAACTCTAGGTTTAATCTTTATAAAAGGTAAAAAATAAATTTCTTTTAAAGACATCAAAGTTCGACAGAGTTGGTTTATATCAAACTGTGCACGGAGACGCAGAGGACTATGAGTAGTTTGTTTATACATGTAGTAATGTACATGCATTATGTATGGAAGAAAATCATGTAACGTCGCATGCAAATGTTCAATGTCACAGGGATATATTAATTAACAGATAAATATTAAAGATATTTTAAATATAACAGATCAATCATTCCAGTTTTTACTTGCTTTATTGAAAGGACCAATTGGTTTGCGGCCGATTTTTGACGCTTGCGTCAATATATGTTTCTTGTATATTCATTAAGTCAAATATATTTTTGGCGATAGGTGATCCATGTGACTGATTTTAATTTATATTTTATGCAGCCAACAGTTACATAAGGAATTGATGAAGTTTAAAAGTGTATCGTTTTTGTTTGATTTTAATCCGACAAGAAGCTATCGGTAAATTTTCTCCATCACAGTCTCAATCATTCAGACGCATGTCTTTATCAACAAATCGAAGCAGTTTGATGATCAAGACTAATTTCCATGCTTTACTTCATATTTTCCCCGGGCGACAACTGATGGCTACATCAATGTTTTCTTGTTTTGCTTTGTTTTATAGATAAATATTATACAATTGATCTCTAAAGTTTTATTTTGCTTAATTTAGCTAGTTATAAGAGGGTATATAATAAATTTATCTCGGTAAAGTTTACCGCTTCGCGTCTCGTTTGATCTGAGGATCCGCGCCTGTCAACTCGACGTGATACGACTCTTCGGGTTGAGTTACTGTAATAACAAGTAAAATTGATGCAAAGCATCAAATCGGCCGCAAACAAAATTTAGCACTAAAAAAACCCTTTCACATGCAAGGAAAGCACGTCAAGATATTCTAAGGTGAAAAAGTTGAATCATTTTTATTTTAGACTGTCTTCAAAGCAAACAAATAATTTTAAAGAATTAAATAAATTGACATTTTTATCGCATTTGTTTATAAATAGATTCATCGATGTAAAAAAAAAATCAATGTTCATTGATGAATGACAAGAATTATTGTCATCAAAACGAAGATGTAGGCCTGTCGAAATGAAATGCTGTCTTGATTTTTTCATGACATGTTTCTGCATGCAGAGAGGCTATATGCTGCAATCCGCGGTGCAAAATGTAAAAAATATCTTTGTGTCGTTTGCAGATGTAGAGCAGATGTAGAACAATTTTTACTGGTAGTTGAAAAACTTCTAATTTTTTTTATTCGCCATGCACATTTACCACATCATCATTATCCGGAAAATCATGACGGTTCACTTTCATATTTTACACACTCCCAGGTTGGGGAGTATCTAATGTAAACTCTTTTTATATAACCATATTTTATCAATTATCTGATGAGAAATGATAATTAAATTGAATTGTAATGACAGCATTTATAGAAGTAAGTTTAAAGCAAGTTTTTAAAATATTTTACTCATGATTTGTACTTGTTATCATTTAAGAATTACTTTATTGAAGTAATAAAAAATAACGTCTCATTTCCCCATGTGCACTTTCTAACACAACCACAAATAGATCGGCCGCTGCTGCGGCCGATAATAATAGCGAGCGTCGCGAAGCGACTCTCGTCAGTGCGAGCTCTAACGACATCGCCTGGGCGAAGAGAAAATTCGGACTACTGCACATTCTTTCGACAGAATTTTTTCCGCAGTAATTTGGACCCAAAATGCATCGCTTCGTACACAAAAGCTAAAGCAACGTTCTCGCGAGAATAACAACAAAAGTTATCGCTGAAAGATAGTCAATAAAACAGTACTTCATTAAAATCATCCCTGTTCAGGCTTCGGTTTGGTAAAGCAACACGCATACGACGACGTCGTCATGTGACATCAGAGTCTTCAACGTACCTAATGTACATGTGGTTTGACGAGCCCGATCTAAATGAAAACTGAGAAAGTATTTGCGCTTGCCCTAACCTGGTTCCTTATCCCTGTTTTGCTTCGTATACTCCGCGTCACTAGGCAAGGATGAGACAGGGGACCAGGCTACGCTTGCCCTAACAGTCGCATCATCAACATATTATATATTTATTCTTCATACTTTATTTCCGTCGTTAGAGAATTATGTAAAGACAATTATTTTTAACCACCAATGATTTTTATTGCTGCCTGGAGGACCGGGCTGCTCTATGCATATAAGTTTAAGTGTTGGTGTACATGGGGATTGAGCTCGGAGAAATTACTCAGTATTCAGAATTAAAGGTTTTCTAAACATTAAAAAGATTGTTAATCACAATGTTCTTTCCTTTTATAAATTACGAGGTACATAATACATTTACTTCCTTAAAGTGAATCTGTAAAAAATATATATGTTTTTCACATTTAATAATTAAAGTTGCTTATCATTTACTTTATCATTTACTTTCGAAAAAACGACAGGTCCCTTTTTTTAGAACATCGAATTTTACATGTCGCATAAAAACGTACTCTGCACAGTTCATATTTATTCTGAAAGTGAAATACATTCTTTAATATCTAGGTGATGCATGTGTCTGGATTCAATTTATATTTATGTAACCAACATTTATTTGAGGAATAGATAAAGTTTAAAAAAGGATATCGTTTTTGTTCGATTTACATTCGACTATAAGTTTTCAAAATATTCTCGACTATCGACTCCATGATTTAGACGCATGCCTTTTTCACACATATTGAAGCGGTTTGATGATCAAGAATGACTTCCATTGTTTACTTTATTTATTTCCAGGGCGACAATTGATGGTTACATCAATGTTTTCTTGTTAAAATAATACACATGATGTATGACTGGCATGAGTTCTTTTTTTAAGAAATAAATAACAAGTTTCACAGGATTTGATCACGTGACCGACCCACTTCAATTCCCATTGAAGTTTATAAACTTGTTATTTATTTCTTATATATACATTTGAGACAGACAATGAATATTTTTTAAATTAAAACCGTTCGTAGATTTTGAAAAAAGAAGGTGTAAATCGGCTTGAATGGCGGTCAAGAATTCACCATTAAGGACTTTATTTCTAAGGGAATATTTTTTGAAAGGTTTTCTTCGGTAATAGTGAACAAATTGTTGTCTGGGAATATTTTTATTAGTGTGAAAACTGATAATCAATGCTGAAAAGACATAGAAACACGTTATTTTCGATGATAAAAAGTTGGAGGAATTTCGGTCAGCCAGAATAGGGAAAATGGATCCGATGGATGGAAACACTTGACCGAGCCAGTTAATTTGCAATCAATTGGATTTGCTCAAAAACATTAATCTAATTTCAATGAATAAAATATTTATGATGAAAATACGGAGACATGGGGATAGGTTATTGTTACGACAACTCCGAAGTGTTTGTCAGCTGTTTGTGGCGTGATTGCAATGCTTTGATATGTTCCAACAGATTTACACATTTATCGTGAGTAGAATTTAATGAAAATATTATAGTTTTTTACGGAATTTTATCTAAAGGTCTTCCCCAAAAAATAGGATAAAGGTTAGAGACTGTGCATCTGACAAAAGTGTCATAAAAGTTGTAAACAAACGCTAGTTTTCATGTGTATATTCTCTATGTACAAAGGTTAAATCGATAGCCCAAAAAATGTATGAAATTTTTACATTGTAAATAAAATAATAATTATTTTACTTGCTTATTTTGTTCACACTATACATGAAAAGCAAGTTTAGAGCAAGTCATTTTGTACCGGTAGAGATCATTGCGCCGTGTGATTAGGTCACAATTGATGGTTGACAAACTTCATACAGAATGATATTTGTTGTTAATGTTTATATAATGGAGAGATACCACAAATGTATATATTATTAATATGGCAAAAGATAGATAACTCTGAATATTTTCCTTGCCAGGTTAGATATGATTTTGTACATATTTAATTTTATTTACATTTGCATAAACAAGATTTTAAACATTAATCAATTCCTTGCTACCAGCTTCAGAATTAATTCATGGAAATGCAAAACCCATATATGTAAATGGCAGATGTCTTTATTTCGTACTAGATGTAAACACTGAATGAAATAACGAACAGTGATAATCTTAAAAAATACAGATACAAATGTAAACAAATTCGTGAACAAGCTGTAATTTTAACGATGTCACACACAAATAATTCTTTCTAAACCGTTTTTCCTTACAATATCGAAACAAGCCCAAAAGCAACCATTTTTATTCAAAAAATAAATTCATGGAGCTCTACTGCGGAAGTACCAATGTACATGGTACAGCGTGCAGCTTTTTAAAATTTGATTAATCAATTTCAACTGCACAATGTGTAAATATTTGATAAAACACATTTTTATGCCTCTGTCATGCAGTATATTTTAATAAAATCATAATCATTCTATACAGGTGACACATGTGCAAGTATAAAGTACATGTAAGTCTACTACTTTGTCAAATCTGAAGGCTTTTGCAAATGACACATCTGATCACATAATGTCATGGTTGATATGGATAATGAATTCTAATTAATTTTGCAAATATGATTTTAAAAAAATTCTAATATAGACTTAAAGAGAAAAAAATTTATTTGCAACACTTAAGTTAACTAGGTCACCTGAGTAAACTCAGGTGACCTATTGCTATCTGTTTTCGTCCGTCGTCGTGCGTTGTGCATCGTGCTGGTGTGCGTTGTGCTATAACATTTGAACATTTTCAGCTTCTTCTCTGCAACCACTCAACCGATTTCAACCAATTTTGGCATAAAGCATGTATGAGTGACGGGGAACAAAAATTGTGAATTTCACGGTTCCTGCCCCCTGGAGCCTGAGGGGTGGGACCAAAACCATTAAAATTAATGCAATCTTTAAAAATCTTCTTCTTTACTCCTGGACTTCAAGCAGTCAAAATGTTTGCATGATTGTAATCAGTATTGATTCCTCTACAAAAATTGTGAAATTCATGGCCCTTGGATCAGGGGTTCTAGTGCTAGGACGGGGCTAGATAGATTATATAGTGAAAATGCATTATTTCTATTGAAAATCTTCTCTGCTTTATCCTGGACGGTTTAAATAAACTAAATAAGTATATAGTATATTAGTTATGTTAAATAAGGCCTTCTTCCAAAATTTAATTTCATGGCCCTGGGGTCAGAATAAGGCTTCATATTGATTAAATTTTAAAAGTGTTAGGGCGGGGCTATATAGAGTTATATAGTAAAAATGCATAATTTCTTTGAAAATCTTCTTCTGTTGCAAGTAAAATTAAATTATATAGTGAATGCATTATATCTTTGAAAATCTTCTCTTTATGCATTGAATAAGGCTGCTTCTTCCAAAATTGTGAATCTCATGCCCCCAGTGGCAGAGTGGGGCTATATAGATTATATAGTAAAATGGAAAATTCGGTGCTCCTGGGTATTGGGGCTATATAGTTATATATGTTGAAAAGGCTGCAAAATTTGAAATTCATGGCCCTGAGGTCAGGATTAGGTCTAGGGTTGCTATTATAGATTATATATTGAAAATGCATTATTTCTTTGAAAATCTTTTTCGTTGATCCTGGGCATTTAATAAACAAACCAAATACATAGTTATGTTAAATAAGGCTGCCTCTTCCAAAATTGTGAATTTCATGGCCCCAGGGTGTGGGGTTCTTCGGTGCTAGGGCGGGGCTCTATTGATTATATAGTAAAAATGCATTTATTCTTTGAAAATCTTCTTCTCTGCTCCTGGATATTAAATAAACTAAGTACATAGTTATGATGGGCAAGAGTGCACCTTCCAAAATTGTGAATTTTATGGCCCCAGGGTCAGAGGTTCTGGTGTTAGGATGGGGATCTATTGATTAATTAGTAAAAATGCATGAATTCTTTAAAAATCTTCTCCTCTGCTCCTGGGTATTAAGCAGATGAACTACTTATATAGTTATGATGAGCAAGCTTAAGCGTCCTTCTTCCAGAATTGTTAATTTCAAGGCCCCAGTGGTACCATAGAGGGGGGAGGGCTCTACTTATATACTGAAAATGAATTAGGCCTAATTGTTTGAAATCTGCTCCTTGGTATATTAATCAAACACTTTTGATAAGCAAGGGTTCCTTTTAAAAAATTGTGCCAATGTGTGGACCTAGGGTCAGGGGTTTATGTGTGGTAGGGGCACTACTGATTATTGCTGAATATTACTGATTAGTTGAAATGCATTTTGTTCCCCTACCCTGCCTATGAGTATTAAGTAGCCAAACTAAGCAATTGCTAAGTGTATAGTTATGATGAGCAATGGTGCCTCTTTCAAAATTGTGAATGCCATTATGTAGCATATAGTTTAAAACTTGGACCAAAATCAATTACTGGAAAGTTCTTGCATAAAGCTCTGGTGACCTATAAGGCCTATGGGCCTCTTGTTTTGAAATGCAATGTATGGAGATAACGAACAGTATTCAAGCTCAAAAGTCCATTAAAAAATAGAGCAGAGCAAACACGGACCACCAAAACATCAGAGGTGGGATCAGGTGCCATGGAGGAGTGAGCATCCCAACTCACACCCACCACTGTAGAAATAAAATTAACTTCAAAAGAACTGTAGATTTACAATGAAGCTGGAGAAGCTAAAATAGGCTTTGCCTGCTGCCCAATCCAATTCACTTATGTGAATAAAATTTTGTAAAAAAAAAAAAAAAAGAAGCTGGAGAACTCACATACGAGTACAGTGTTCGTTGTATGTGGCATGTAACCGATTTTAAAAAGCCATTCTCTGTAAGCAGTGGCAAGCATGGTCTTGGATTTTTATGAAACTTGGCACACATTCCTATATTGATGTATGAAACTTAAAATCACAATAAAATGGTTGCTATGGCCCATGGTTACCATGGCAACCAACATACAATTTTCATGGCCTAAAAATGGCTATATTTTGATGAAAAGTGACCTTTTTTGACTTATTAAAAGTCTTTAATAAAACAAGATATTTACATGACTTTACTTTTTTGTCAAAATACACCATTTTATAGTTCTTTAGATAATTTTTAGTTTGTGACGTCATAAAAACAAAAATTGTCAATAAACTACTTTGAAACTATAATATGATCTGTTAATTTATATTTCTCATACAATTTATAGAATTCAGCACATTTGAAGAATTTTTCAAATTTGACTTTTGTGGGAGGCAAAGATATGCAATACACCGCTTATAGTTCTTTCTCTTTTCCGAGCGATATCTCAAAAAAGCACAAGTAAAAAAGACTCTTTGCTTACGTGCCCTTAAATTAATCATATTTAATAAAACTTTATGGAATAATTTCCTATGGTCCTGCCCGCCCCTCTTTAAGTGTCCCATCCCCTACCCCCCCCCCCCCTCCGCCCCCCCCCCCCCCCCTCTTCTCAATCTGTACAAGTTCTTTTTTCCTTAAGCAGGGGACACAGATTCTTTGAAGTAGGCTATTACAATACAATAATTAATCCTTTTAATCCTACTTTAAATGATTATTTAAACAGATATAAACAATAAAATGTCTTTCTTTGTTTGTTATTACTGGAATTAACTTTCGCAGCTTTTGCAGAAAAAAATTTACATAACCCGCTTACGCGGGTTATGTATTTTTTCTGCAACAGCTGCTTCCGTTAATTCAAGTAATAACAAACAAAGAAAGCATTTTATTGTTTAAATACATGTATTTTATTGAAACTGGATTTACATTCTACCTTTAGCTTGAGGAATAATGTGAAAATGCTTATAAGAACGGTTTTTATGTCATCTATTGATATAAAGGTAGACAATTAAGATTATTGAAACACTATACACTTTCCATATTGAGTGACTTGTATATAGAGAATTTTGCTGCATGCATGTAAAGACACTCTTTTGTTGTTTTTGAAGACTTAGTCCTTACTCTAAAATGTACATTTTTTTTTTACCGTATTCAACACTCAGAACTTTTCAAGTGACAGTCAAAATGTGTTTTCCAGTGACTTTATTCAGAAAAGTTGACGGAAAAAATCTAATTTACTTTGCAATATTATATATAAAGACTTGAGAATTTAGACACGTTGATGATAAATATTTCAACTCAACTAATGCCTAGATTTACGCAATAGATCTGTTATTTCCAAAATTTAATAATAATCTGTTGTAAAAACTTGCTGGACGTGTTCGAATAAACTGTTTTTGTGCTTTATTTATGTTGGTTGCTTTATTTGAGTTGGTTAGTAAGTCTGATGGAAACGTTCACCTTATTGTGTGTAATGTAAACACAATTTCTAAACTAACTTTAGTCCTTGAAAATGTTGAAAACAAATTATTTGTCCTTGCCTTCTTCCTACAGTTTTCATTTTTTAAAAATAAATATAATGAAGTAATCAATGACCAGTACTTATTCCATCCCTTCAAGGAACCATGTAAAAGCACTTACCTTACCCCACATAAATTGATAAGAGTTATTCAAAAGATAAACAAGGATCCCTTGTAAAATGTTATGAAGCGATTTTTATAAATATTAAAGAAAGCAGTTCATTCATAAAGTGATTAACCCTACCTCATTATAGTCCTGCAGTATATCACTCTGACCGAGACGCTGTACCTCTTTAAGAAAAACAATTCAATATATAATTCTGATATTTCTAGTTTATCTTTAATCCCCATCTTGAAACTCCTTAGATCTTGAGACTCCACTTACCAAAGTAAAATTATTGCAGCAATATTGCCGCTATATTGCAGCAACATTGCAGCAACACATTTTTGTCACCAGAAACAAGTTTTGGGGTTAGTGAAATATCACTGCTAGCGGCAACAACTTCTGGTGACATTCTGGCAATACTGCCAGAAAAAAAACTTTCTGGCAGTATTGCCAGAATGTCACCAGAAGATCTAGGATTACCCATTAGGCATTTGTGAGCACGCTCAGTCATTTACTTCTTCTTTTTAAATAAAATGGAGGGAATTCAAAGGCAAGCATGTTTTGCTTCATTATTGAATGGTATCAAGTTAATTGGAGTTGTTACTTGTGTACAATAGGATTAGACATGATGACTAGTAAGACTGAATAATGTGGAATAGCCAGAAAAAAAAAAAGAATTTCAGCTGTTTCCATGGCATGGCCTTTTGAAAGAATTATAGGAATGGCTAATCTGTTTTCATGGTATATATATATCAGACTTGGTAAGTCAAAACCATATTCTTTTTTAGATGAATGATTTTATGGAGTTAAAATAGGAAAAATTATATGCATTTCAACTAGTGCTTTTGATGCATGTATACTATATACTTGTATGTCTATATATATCATACAATTGTTGCAGGAGAAAATGAATGCATGTTATCAATTAAATGCATGCACATACATGTATATGATTAATTTATTGCATAAATTTGAATACCTGCAAGAAAATAATGATTCTATATATATGTTGGAAA